GAGCTGTGGTTTTTGTGCACAAACCTAGATGTATTCAGAGAATTTGCATGCCATCAAGCACCACCAAAACTAATCAATTGGGCACCATGCACTCCAAATAAGAAGAGAAATAGAATTCCACAAAGGCTTCCCAGACATGGATGTAAATACAACCGCAAATAGAACCAGACTGTCTCTACCTTGTCTATTGACTCAGAGGCAGGCAGAACTGCCCTGAGGTCTTTGAAATATGCCAAAAATGTACAAACCACAGGTATACTTCTTTTCCTTTGAAAGTGGGTTGTAGAAATTGAAGGAGAAAAAGATGAGAAAATCCTGCTTAAAAATCTACCTTAACATAGAAGGCTTTTGGTTACAATATTTTGAGCATGGAGGAGATACTGCATACACTTGAAATGTTTTTCAAAGCCTTACTGCTAATTAGGATCTAAATGTCTATGAAAATACATTACAGACTCACACTAATGCTCCTGGAGGTCCCGGCTTGACTGGCTGTGGAGTCACACCTCCTGTGCCGTCCTCTGACACTAGGCATGAGCCACCTCTCCACCGACAGCTCCCCCAATTAATGGTGCAGACTGTCTTCAGACACTCGCCACCACAGAAGCTGATGGGTTTGTGTTACTATTTGGTCATGCTGCATGTAATTCAGCGAGCCTGTGATTGATGAAGAGGCGTGGGCTGTTTCCTCTCCCTCCTTAGATTTGTCAATCATTGTCTTCTTGGTAAAAGTAGGAAATGCCCCCAGGCCGGGCATGGTGGCTCACGTCTGTAATCCCAGCACTTTGGGAGGCCGAGGCGGGTGGATCACGAGGTCAAGAGATCGAGACCATCCTGGTCAACATGGTGAAACCCCGTCTCTACTAAAAATACAAAAAATTAGCTGGGCATGGTGGCACGTGCCTATAGTCCCAGCTACTAGGGAGGCTGAGGCAGGAGAATTGCTTGAACCCAGGAGGCAGAGGTTGCGGTGAGCCGAGATCACGCCATTGCACTCCAGCCTGGGTAACAAGAGCGAAACTCCGTCTCAAAAAAAAAAAAAAAAAAAAAAAAAGGAGGAAATGCCCAGTAGACTGCCCATAACTCAGATATTAAATTAGAAGGCCACAAGGACCTATTTGGAAACTCAGTCCCACTGCTCACCCCTAGCCTCTGTTGATGTCACACTAATAGTCCTTATGGCTGGACGTCGTGCCTCATGCCTGTAATCCCAGCACTTTGGGAGGCCAGGGTGGATGGATCATAAGATCAGGAGATCGAGATCATCCTGGCCAACGTGGTGAAACTCCGTCTCTACAAAAAATACAAAAATTAGGCATGGTGGTGCATGCCTGTAATCCCAGCTACTTGGGAGGCTGAGGCAGGAGAATCGCTTGAACCCGGAAGGCGTAGGTTGCCATGAGCCAAGATCACACCATTGCACTCCAGCCTGGTGACAGAGCAAGATTCTGTCTCAAAAAAAAAAAAAAAAAAAAAAAATTGTCCTTATGCACACATATGGTTTATGCAAAAACTGAGTCTAACAGTGTTTTCTGCACAAAGAATAAACATTCCTAGTAGCATCTGTGGCTTGAATCTTTCAGACGCGGACATCCAGTGTGGGCTTACATTTATCACATTCCAATGTGGACTTAGATTAGTTGGGTACCCTCTACCTCGTACGCACAGTAGGCTCTGGCAGCCTGCTTAATGGAATCAAACAAAATATTGCACTCACTGTGCAATTCTTCTGTGTTGTTGACAACAAGCTGTTTCTTTCAGCCACACTCAGCATTGTATCTTTGATCAAAAATAGAAATACAAACCAGTCAGAGTTTGGCTGGAGGATTCTGGCAGCCTCTCTGAATCTCTAGATAAGCTCTAATTTGAAACAACAGCTTTTGTTCGTATAGGGGAGCCTCCACAGAGCCTTGTAAACATGTCTTTCTATCTTAGGGCATAATGTTCCACTCAAATTTAAGTGCTGCTTTGTAGGAATTCAAAGACACCTTCTGTATATTTATTCTCAATCAGTGACAGAACGAAAGTCTGGGATTCGAAGAAAAGTCTGGATTGAAATCCGTATTGTGGTGTGGATTTCATTAGAGGGAGGGAGAGAGCTGACTTCGGGACCTAAACCAGTGCTTGTCTGCTCATCACAGCAGAGATCAGTGAAATTCTCAAAAAACATAACATCTGTAAAATAGTTTTATTAGAGCTTAAAATTTTAAAGCAGTTGTGTTCCATGGAACAAACCTGTCCATTTACTTACAGGCATGGCTGCCTTCTGATAGGCCGAATAGGACCATGGGGCTTGTGGCTGGAAGTTTCTGCTACTCATCAGAAATGACCTTGTACCAGCCAAGCCAATCCTAAGCCTTGTTTTTTTCAACTGTCAAGTAGGGATAATAATCCCTATTTATTTATACAAGTTTTAATAGAATTAAATGACCTTTCACCTAAGCTATTGTGGAGTTACTGATTGATTCCTTCAAGCGTTTATTACAAAATAGTTGAACCAATCTATCTTGAAACTTTTTATGTATAAATGGGATGTTCTTTGAGCTTGTGACTAACATCCTAACAACTGTGAGACAAATTGACTTGGAGAATAGTTTTCTCCCTAAAACCACGCACTTACCCATGGCTACATTAAATGTACATTGTGAATATAGCCTCATTTAACCCCCATAAAAGCCTTAGAGGTGTATGTTATCCTGATGTTACAGATGGGAACCCTAGTGCTTAAAGAGGCTTTATCACTTGTCCATGATCCCACAGCTGCTAAATCTGGTTTAAATCAGCTGTGGAAAAACTAAAAGGGTCTTGTTTTTGTTTTTGTTTTGTTTTGAGAAGGCATTTCACTCTTGTCATCCAGGCTGGAGTGCAATGGTGCAATCTCAGCTCACCGCAATCTCTGCCTCCCAGGTTCAAGTGATTCTCTGGCTTCAGCCTCTCAAGTAGCTGAGACTACAGGTGCATGCCACCATGCCCGGCTAATTTTTTGTGTTTTTAGCAGAGACGAAGTTTCACCGTGTTAGCCAGCATGGTCTCAATCTCCTGAACTTGTGATCCGCCCGCCTCAGGCTCCCAAATTGCTGGGATTACAGGAGTAAGCCACCACGCCTGGCCGGGTCTTGTTTAAACACTGCTCAACCCCTTTCTCATCAGGGGTCTTTACTAGAGCTGCCTCCCCAGCGATAGTAAAAATAAGATCCAATCCCCAGAATCAAACTAACCTTTTAGAAAATTTCAAAACAAGAGAACAGCACAGAACCCTGACTACAGCCCTCAGAACTGCTACCTGAAGACAGAGGTACATCCCACTCAGGAACTGCCCATGTGCTGGGCTGGGGAATGGGAATTCTTTCATATCCACTGACTCTCTGCAGTGGGTGCTCCTCTGTGCCCCATCATCTGCCCATTTGCTGGAAGCCATATCCCCTTAGACGTGTTCAAAACTTTGTGACCCCATGAATGTGGAATAAATAAAAATGCCATCCTTATTCTGTTTCTATGCTTCTTTGGGAAACTTTTTGATAATGGCTTAAATACAAGCTTTGTAAAAGGCAGAAAACGATGAAGAACAGAATATCCGCTTGTAAAACCTACCTTAAGCAATGTGAAAATCATTGCTGATTAGGTTGAAGAAAATTCTCTGCCCAGCTTAATAAACAAGGGGGAAAATTTAAAGTTATAACAAGGAAGGAAGCATAGCATTGGATCTATCATTAAATCACAACTCTGAATATTTGTGACAAAGATTAATCCTTGGCCATTCAAAGCTACTTACGACAGACACACACACCATAAAGTATAAGAACCGGAATTGTAAAAAGTAAGACAGCAATGAGAAGCAAAGAACAAAATAGCTAAATTTCCCACAAACACATCTAATAAAAGACATTCTATTGAATGGAAAGGATGAATGAATAGGGAAGTAAAGGCTATAGGGCTGCATATCCCTTCACCCATCGTGTACCCATCCGTTTGCTCTTGGCAGAACCAACCAGTGACAAACTCCATCCACAGATCAGCATAGAATGGAGTGCTTCATACAGATGCATACCTAAGCCAGTATGTTCTCAGGCCATCTTGCTCACTAGCAGCTAGCTTTGATGAAGGTGTTTGTAGGTGTGACACCAAGCATATTAAGTCTGGTGCAAGAAAATCCTATCATTGAGAACCAGAAAGGACTAGATTGAGTTCAACCATGTGTACATGGTTAGAAGCCGAAAAGAAATAATCCAAAGTCCTGTTTGTTTTGTTACTCTACTGTCCATTACTAGGCAGAATTGTTTGACAAAGAAATTCAGCGATGGATTTAGGACACTTGGTAGTGAAAAAGCTCATAGGAAAATGAGCCAGTCAACTGTTTTCTTTCACCAGGGCTACACAGAGCCACCTTTACACTCACTAGAAACTGCATTTTGCTTTGGCTTCATTTCGTGGATGTCTGAACTTAACTGTTAGTGGTTGAGTTTAGCAGTGAAAAATACTGAATTGCTGCCGGTCGTGGTGGCTCACGCCTGTAATCTCAGCACTTTGGGAGGCCAAGGTGGACGGATCACCTGAGGTCAGGAGTTCGACACCAGCCTGGCTAACATGGTCTACTAAAAATACAAAAATACAAAACCCCATCTCTACTAAAAATACAAAAAAATTAGCCGGGCCTGGTGGCGGGCACCTGTAATCCCCACTACTCAGGAAGCTAAGGCAGGAGAATCGCTTGAACCTGGGAGGTGGAGGTTGCTGTGAGCTGAGACTGCACCATTGCTCTCCAGCCTGGGTGACAAAAATGAGATTCTGTCTCAAAATGAAAAAAAAATAAGAAAAAAATATTGAAAACTAGAGAGAAAACATTTCATACCTGGTAATCTCAGAGTTCTGAGATGCTCTGCATGACAAACAACAGCAGTATGTATTTGTTGCCATCTTCTGAGGCAGGGAAAACTACCCTTTAAAGACTTTCTTTTATGAAATAACTTTGCGGCGCTTTATCTGCAAGATGAAAAGGATATGAATGAGATCTTCGTCGTGACTGTGGATTGCTGTGTGAAGTTGATCTTCCAAGTACAATAACTTCTTGCCTATATCTTCACACTTTTCTCCAAGTTCTGCAGAAAGGATGTAAGATTCCTGGCAGGAAGGGGAAAACAAGATCACTTGTTAGAGCCATGAACACAGACAGTACACAAAGGGAAAGTTTCTTGAAAGAGCTCTCCCGGTTTCTGTACCTCAGTCAGAATTGTGCTAGAGACTGTCTTCCCTGGAGATCAAACTTGAGAATATGTGAACCGATTTCAAGTTATGACCAAAGAATGAGTTTTGTCTACAAAGCTCCATAGGTTACTTCCCTTTTCTGGTCATTTCAAAGAGCTGTTTCCAGTATGTCAAGTCCCAAAGTGGATTTATCAAACAGAAACCCTGAATCTTCCAGCTGTATCAATGAGCCAATTCATAATTTAATAGAAATTCTGTTAAAAAGTGGGGAGAGGGGTCACAGGAGCAACTGGGCTAACCTGTAAGGACAAAGGGAATATTCCTTTAGGGACACAGAAATTGACAAGGGCACAATTTCTAGCACACAGTCCCTGAGTGCTAGACTTTAAGTGCCTTGAGGTATATCTTGCTGCTACCACCATACACAGGAATGGAAGCCCCGTAAGAGCAAGATGATGATGTTTTGCTTGCTGCTGGCCCTAGAGCCCCTGGCATACCCTGGCACATGACAGGCACGTAGTATTGACATGTTTGATGAATGAACAGTAGAGTCTTAGAGCGCCTTCCTTCTCTCATATTTTCCCTTCAAACTTATTTCTATGAGCCAGAAAAGGACCTTCTTTATGTCACTTTCCTCCACAAAACCACCACAGAGCAGAGTCCAAACTCTGCCATCATGTGACCTGGCAGAAGGTCCATGGTTCAGCTGTATCCTCTCTACTATCCTAAAGGCAAGCTAAGCTTGCCAACCAGACTAACCCTATTGCCTTCTCTCAAGCAGTTCTTCTTGCCCATGCATTCTTCCCCATTCTTCTCTGAAACCCAACCTTTCCTTCAAAGGCCCCAAATAATTTCACCTTGTAGTACAGCCATTCTGATAAGTTCTGTATGTGTCCACTCAAGTGAGTGTAAGCTCCCTGCGGGTAAGGACTATGGGTTAGTCATTTATTCATCCCAGGGCCCCAAGTCGAATGCTGTCCATGTAGAAGGCCTTAGATTTGTAAAGGAAAACAATAAACAAGGTTAAGAAAATGAGAACAGAAAATAGAGATTCTTAGAATAAAGCAGGGGGAGAAGCAAGAAATGAGTTCAGAATTAAAACTTAAAAGTAAAGGTAATATTTCCTCAACTAAGAGTGAAAAGCTTAGAAGAGTCAGGCATGGTGGCTCATACCTGTAATCCCAGCACTTTGGGAGGCCTAGGTGGGTGGATCATGAGGTCAGGAGTTTGAGACCAGCCTGGCCAATATGGTGAAACCCTGTATCTACTAAAAATACAAAAATTAGCTGGCATGTTGGCTGGCACCTATAATCCCAGCTACTCAGGAGGCTGAGGTAGGAGAATCGCTTGAACCTGGGAGGCAGAGGTGGCAGTGAGCTGAGACCATGCCATTGCACTCTAGCCTGGGCAACAGAGCAAGACTCCATCTCAAAAAAAAAAAAAAAAAAGGAAAGAAAATCTTAGCAGACACAGTAAAAAAAAATTCTGCATAAGGGAAAAGATTAAGATATGTATTCAGCTTAAATTGCAAGTTTACTACAAAAGCTACAATGAATATCCAACAATAACAACAAATGCCCAGGTGTGTGGTAATAGTCATTGATAAAAAGACTTTGGAGATGATGTGTTACATAATATTATAATCAGAGTCCATAAATGACAATTAAACCTTGGTATATAATTTGACTTTTGCTATATTATCTTTAAAATTTACATGTCAACTACATTAGAATAAAATAGTGCCAATGGGAACTGCAAATAACTATTGCAAATACTGGAGAAGTCCAGTATACTGAAGAACGAGCTATGAGCTATAGAATGAGCTACACTCATTCACTGCAAGGAAACGTATATAGAAAAGAAATCTAGTGGCAATAACATACAATCCTGAGGACATATGGACACAATTAAAGGAACTTTAATGTGAAGCACCCGTGAAGGTTTACTCAAAATTGACCGTAACAGTGGTGAGAAGACAGCAAATACATAAAAATCACAAACATATATACACACACACACACACACACACACACACACCTATATATACACATACACATAGACATATATATGTGTATATGTGTATATATAAATATATTTTTACCCATCCTAAAATAAAACTATCAGTCAAAGATGTGAAATTGAGGGTAGACAGATTACATGGAAGTGTAGACACTGGACAGTGAGTAACACCATCGTCACACCTGAAATAAATGAGACACTAAGAAAAAGAACATCTGGGAAAAAAATGATTGACAGTCATGAAACCACAAGTCATACAGAAAAAAGAAAAATACAGTGTTAGCAGGAAAATACATATATGACTGACAACACACTTAAAGAGAGAAAAAGCATAGACTCAGAACAGAAAACCAAGGAATTTAAAACACCCTTAAATGAAATCAAATGACTCAATCTTCATCTTGCGGTTTCAACAAATATGAAATCAAAGCCAAATTAAACAAATTTAAAATATAGTTTTACATTTCTCCCCCAAACATATAATTCCTGCCTGTTTTCCTTTTTAAATTATGTGCAGATTGATTGTAATGGCATAAATTTTGGAAAGCAATTTCATACCACATAACAAGCACTTTAAATTGTTCATATCTTAGGACCAAATATTCCCTTCCTGGAATTTATCAAAAAGAAATAATTTGATCATTTAAATTGAAATAACTTTTATTAAGCCCTTGTAATAAACATGCAAAAATGCCTATAACATATATATCAAATAGAAATAAAAGATTTTAACCATGCAAAGATGATGGCATTAAAAATATGGGAAATAGGAAATAACTGTCCAGCAATAAAGGGAATAGTTAAAATAAGGTCTGACACATTAGATTTGTATTTAGCCATTAAAGTCATTTTTAATAAAAGCATTTAATGATGATGAAATGACTCAAATAGGCAAAGCATTAAAATATTTATAATTATTATTTTGAGGGGCAGTATTATAGGAAAGTTTTATTTTCTTCTGTATACTTTCCTGAACTTTTAACATCTTTAACATTTGGGAAAAATTTACCAAAAACCCTAATTCAAACCATAATGAAAAAGGAAGAAATTTACCTGAATTTTTTTTCTAGTTTTTTTTAGAGATTAAAAAACAAACAATGTAGCATAAGGGAACAAATTCAGGGAGTTCAAGTCACCATGTTCGGTAACAGAAGATACGACTGGCATTTTTGTGGGGCTGTTTTTCCCAAGACACAAGTTATAGGATCTCTCTTAGGCTCCTGCAGAAACCATTACTTGCTGGGCTGAAAGCTTCTAATTCTGAACCGAGAGGATACTGAATGTGAACCAGGTGGATATTATTTGAGAAATGTATTACTTTACTACAATGCTCTCACTCGGAATCTTAGGAATAGATTAGTTTAGACGTAAACTGAGAATTGACAGCTGATGAGAGGGTAGGTTGACATATTTCTATCAATCTGATGAAAAGTTCTGTTCTGTCCAAAGAAATCTGCCTGTCCAGAGAGAGCAGAGTGGGATTAGAACCATGAGTATCAGCTGTGCAAAGCTGCCCAGGTCCTACCTGTTAGCCCATAAATCAGGGACTAGGGAAAACTTCCTTGGCCATTTTCATGCCATGCCCAGGTATGGCAAGGTATACGTATGGTCATAGCAACACACTTTTCTGGAACATTACCTCCTCACCATCAAGAAAGTTTATTACTTCTCTTCTTAAACCTGGATGGCCCTTGAGATTCCTTCAATGAACATAGTGAAGGTGACATTGCCTGACTTGCAAAGTAAGGTCATAAAAGGTGACATGCCTTTTCAGATTACCCACCCTGGAACCCAGCCTCCACGTTGTGAGGAAGCCCAAGTTACATGGATGGGCTGTTTATAGATGTCTGGATGATAGCCTCAGCTAAAGCCCCAGTCAACAGCCAGACTTGGGAAGGACTGAACCTTTAGACGGTCCCAGACCTTGTCTTCAAGTCATTCAGCTAATACCCAGACATTGCGGAGCAGAAACACCTTCCTCACAGTGCCCTACCCCAACTTCTGATCTACAAATATCATAAATAGTTCATTTAAATCACTAAGTTTCTGGTGATTTTGATGCAGTCATAGCAGGCTAAAACAGTGGGCTTACATGGGTTGTCCCTACACAGAACCTCGCACGGGTGGATAGAATTATTGCAAAATGCTAGCCAGAAGTGCATCTTCACTGGTACCTAGTTAGGGAGCCACTGTGATGACTGACTAGACTTTTGAAGTTCACTAAAGTCTTAATGCCCAGACTTGTCCCAGGGAGGGGAGCTCTTACCCAGGCTGGGAACTATGGCCATGAGACTGTGAAGTGCAACGAAGACATTACAGTGAGTGGCCACTGCCACTGGTCAGTGATCCCAGACCCCTGGCTCCTGGTTCAGTAAGTTACTGAACAGTACAGGCATCTATTCTGAGTGAGTGTATATGTGTGTGTGTGTATAGTCAAAATTTCCTAGAAAATTCCTCAGGAAGACAGTGAGTCCAACATATTGGATTGCAATATGACCCACAGGGCCTCACTTACTTCCAGCGTTGGGAGAAGCGGCTGTTTCTTCAGTGGATACTTAAGAGCAAGGTGCTCATATCATGAGAAGTAGAAAGGTAAGAAATACATAGATTCTTGTCTCCTGGGCCCTCACACTGGCCTTGAGGCACACCTACTTCCTACAGTAAAGAACAAAATTGCTGTCTAGTTAAATGATCATGTCCTCCTGGTAGGTGAGTGTTCATATGTTACAGTCACATAGGACGATATAGTCTGCAGGGAGCATCAAGCGTATGACACTACTTCAAGTTTTTCCCTTGCTTTGACAGCACCTTGCTGGAGTATGTTCTCTCAAGCCAGCGGGCTTCAGGCCTTATTCTGCAGAGATCCCCTGGTAAGAGGAAAGGGTTTTTACCGTTAA